AAGCCCTCCTCCCACCCCAGTACCCACCCCCCACCCCCAGCCCAGTGACCACTCTCAGGCAATTCATTACTCAGCTGAAGAAGACACAGCAAACAGAAAACTGTGAAAGCACATACTAAAAAGGCCAAACCCAAGCTCATTCCTTAGTGAATACAAGAACTTTAGGTTTCCCAAAAAAGAAAAATTAAACTTAAGTATAATATGTTAATGTACCAGAAGTAAAATACAACAATTTGTATTTTTTTGTCCAGAGGTATTATTTTTCTCTCCCTCTCCTGTTCCCTCTCCCTCTTTCCTTTTCTCCCTCCCTCCCTCTCTCTCTGCCTCTCTCTCTCTCACTCTCTCTCTCACACACATAGAGGTTTTATTTTCTTATTACTAGAATACTTTGTATTAAAGGGGAGGGGACTAAAATTATTTGAAGAACAGGAAAAAAGAAAACAAGGCTTGAAAAGACTAAATGGATTGTTTACCCCTCAAATACTTACAAATGAACCTTTTTATATTTAAACTTTCAGGAAAAAAGGTAAGTGTTAGCATACCCAGACTAGTATTTTGTGAAGAAAGGGCTTTATGATTTTTTTTGAGTTTCAAAAGCTTGTAACCTGCCATTGGTTTGCTTGTAAAACTTTTTCATTCTAAAATAATGCAGAAATTTCTGTAAAACTCATCTTCTCAGACATAGCTTTCTAGAGAAGCAAGATGAAAATCTTAACTTGTGTCTCCTGCTTTGCCTAGATTCAGGGCACAGTATTGTTTTGTTTGTACTAATTATATTATTTCTGTATTCATCTGATAAAAGTTTTCCTTATGTCACTAATAAGTTATTGAATAAAACATCAGTTTGTAGATGGGCCACTGGTGGCTCACGCCTGTAGCCCTAGCTACTCAGGAGGCTGGGGATCCCAGTTCAAAGCCTGACAGGCAGGAAAGTCCGTGAAACTCATCTCCAATTAACGACCAGAAAACTGGAAGTGGCACTGTGGCTCAAAGTGATAGAACACTAGCCTTAAGCAAAAGAGCTCAGGAATTCTGAACCCATGCTCAGAGTTCAAGATTCTTGACCAAAAAAAAAAAAAAAAAAAGAAAGAAAGAAAAAAGAAACATTAGTTTGTTCACAAACCTGCACTTTACATGACTGAAGTTTTAGAGCTTTCATTCCCAAGTCATTCCCAAGTGTATTCAATGCAGTGTAAAGTCATTCCTGCCACTGTGTCTGAATTTTAAATAACTATTTTTATATAAAGTTCATAACTTCATGTGACCAAGGCAGCCTGAAAAGCTAACGTGAAGTACAGAAATGGGATAAATATTTTAACATCTCCCTGGAAATTTCATGAGCAGTAGGAGATGAGGATACTTTACTTCTAAGAGTATTTCTTGGGTTGTTAAAAGCTTTTCTTTTTCCTTTTTCTTTGAGGGGTTCAATAAGAAAAATCACCAGAGATGTGCATAAGGGTAGAAGCAGGGAAATCTTGGAATGCTCTGGAAGTAGAACGCCTGCCTGTAGCAAACTCGTGCCTCAGACACCTTCTAAATGACATTCCCTGCTCCAAAACCTGCTAACCTCATCCGTTCTTTGCCAGCCCAGTAAGAATAAGTGCTGAGCATGATCCTTATTACTAACGAAAGGGACCATCTGTGGAATACACAGTCATTCATCTAGACTTAATAATTTGTGATAAGTTAGATATACAAGCTGAGTATATTTACTCATGTAATACACAGGATGGACAGGGGAACAGGAAAGATGTGCTGTGTAAGTAAAAAATGGAAGTAAAAATACCATTTCTGCTAAATGCTTCAGAAACACATCACAAAACAGGACCTGCTGATATTAATTCATCCCTTAGCTTTGCCAAAGCAGGGCCAAAACAGGACCTCTTTTCTTAAGCACTGCCCTTCTCCCCCAATGGTATATTTTTAAAATTATCTTTTAAGTAATTTGTACAAAAGAGTTGCAGTTCAACAGTTCAGTTTGTAAGTTCAATCAAATTACTATCTTCTGATAATGTTATGTATGAAGAGGTACAGAGGGAGAGCCATGATTTTATTCCAGGAATATCTTATCTTGGGGTCCTTACCATTCCCATTGGTCATCTGATTAAATATCTAGCTCTTTCCATCTATTTTTGGTAGAACAGGCTTTGGATTTTTAAATAGTAAAGTCTCCAGAGGCTAATAACAATCAATATTCAGGATAGTTCAGAGAGGCTCAATCAGTCCATTTCTACCCTCACTTTCTATGGCTGCTCCCACTGATTCATTGTAGCCCCTCCCCCCCAGACACACACACACACACACACACACACACACACACACACACACACACACACACACTGGGCTTCTTCTCTCTCAGAGTCACATAGTAACAATACCTAAACACATCTCATTTAGAACTTTAAGAGTAAATTTTTCAAACAGCATGCTTTGTTTTCCTCTAAGCACTCTGCTTATTTTCTGTCTTGTATTGCTTAGTTAGAAATCAAAGTTATAAAGTGAGGAAATACTAGTGTAAAAAGAGTTAGCTGCCCTCCCCCCCCAAAAAAAACCCCACATAGGGAGTACTGTCAAAACAGTATTAAAATAAGCCTTTCATTCCTTTGAAAAGAAAATTCAGACACAGACTCAGGATATCAGTAATGTATCAGCATGTTGCGTTTTATGAAATAATGTCTGCTTATTTCTGTGGAAGCAACAATGCTCTGTATTCAAAGGAGCAACTGGTCATCTGCTCAATATGAAATTCCTATACTAGCTCTGTGGATGCAGACCTTACCCAGCATTCTTAAGTCTTTCAAAAACTCTTGCCAATATTTCATTTTTAAAAAGAATGAAAAAAATAAAAAACAAATAAAAAGAATGTCCTCGGTCTGGGAAGGTGGCTCAGTGGTGGAGCACTTGCCTTGCATGCCTGAGGTCCTGGGTTCGATTCCTCAGCACCACATAAGCAAAAAAGGTTAGGGTGGCATTGTGGCTCAAATGGTAGAGTGCTAGCCTTGAGCAGAAGAGCTGAGGGACAGTGCCCAGGCCCAGAGTTCAGGCCCCACGACCAACAACAACAACAACAACAAAAACAGAACGACATCTGGGTACTAGAAGTCATGCAAAAAGTTAAAGATCAACCTATGGTGTCTGTCAGGAGACTCTGAAGTGCTTTTGTCAACAAAATCCATGCTCCTTTCTAAGTAATTGTGAGGAAGGAGAGGGAATGGTCTCTGTCAAAATCCAACCACAACAGCATCCCAGAGTTAGGCTGGGCCATGTGCCTTGTTTCCTAAGCTGGGCACGTTCCCCCAACAGGGGCATTAGATGTGGAAAAACCTAACATTAAAGCAGCCAAACAAAATCCCAAGGGAGTCAGCTGTGATAAGTATATTGCATTTACCTCTAAATCCACGTCTCTACCATCTGGACCAATGCATCCCATCTCTTCTAACTGACTCAGTACTTTTGCAGGAAGAGCAGAATCGAATGAAATTTACATCAAAAATTAAATTAAAGTAGAGAGGTTTTTTTGGGGGGGAGAAGGAGGGGACTTGCTGAGAAGACAGATTATATCCTGTAGCTGGAATGTATTATATCTGAAGTTGAAAGACTTGAAAGACTAAAGCTTTATGAAATCTCTATCATGAGGAAACTGCACTATTACAAAATAAGCAATGTGCTACTCTGACTGTAAATGCTAAGATACATGTTGTCCAAAAAAAACATACAGGTTACATAGGACTAAAATATAATTCGTTACTATTATACAAATAACAGAAAGGCTTAAGACAGCAAGAGTTGAAAATGAAGGGGATGGGACTCTGATGTATTTATAAGAACCGCTGGTGTTGCCGTCAGAGATTCAGTAAGTTAACATGCAATGCCCGACTGAGGCTTAAGAAGAGTAGAACACAAGTTGGGAAATAGAACAAAGTGTTTGAAAAGGGTCAATCTGATCCTATTTGTGGACATATATTAATCATGATGACCCAAGCATTTAGAACAGTTATTCCTAAATCCCTGCCAATCAGCAAAAGCAAATTTATCAAAAATGAGAGTCCGACTCCACACACCGTAAAATCTTTCGAAGCTAACGTGAAAATAAAAGGATATTAGATCCTATGACAGAGAAAATCCCTTCGGGATAAGACAGCCATATCAGTATTGAGGAAAAAGCCTCCCTCATCACCGGGCCCAGCTGTCTCTGAAGGGGCTTCATGGGTGTGTGCAGCCCAGAAAACCCAGACTTCAGTCTAAGAGTGTAGCATAGACAGCTGCTTGCTTGCAAACTGTACATGGGTTTTCTTACATAACTAACAAGTGATTGTGAGGGAGATAAAGTGAGGAAGCAAGATCAAAGCCTGAGCTTGTGGAGGAGTGGAATGGTGGCTCTTCCATATGGCGAAGAAGAAGGTGCATCAGCACACATCCATCCACTCTGCACGAGGCGTTAGTCTAAGAGCCTTCTCCAAACTAGCCTAAGGAGAAACGCAACATGCGTAAGCTACAGCACTACAAGTATTTCTCTAGTGGCTCCTACATCCTATAGGGAGAATCTGAGTGAGTTCATAGGTCAGTATGCTATACGGTATTGCCTCTTTGAATAGCCTTTAACTTGTGAAAAGCGGGAAGAAAACCTATACACACTGACTTTATACATGGCTGCATCAATAGCATCTTTTCACACCAAGAGGAAGATGAGTCTTAACATTCTTCTGCCTTTTTAGATGCTCCAAGGAGACCGACACCTTATTAGTTAGTTGTTGGACTTTGGCTGGCTAAGAACATTACACTGATTCTCTTTGAGTCCCAAGATGTAGCTCCCAACGACAGGTGAGTCCTGGTCCATGGTACATTCCTTTCACTGTGAGTCTGACCACGAGTCCAGCTCTCCTCTTCAGTTTCCTGGAGAGCCCCTGCTCCCAAGCCCCTCATCCCGCCCCCCTCCCCCACCCAACCCTGTCCTCGGTCTCTAAACCCTTCTGGATCTAGCCTCTCCCACCTCAGATGAGTCATACAAATGGCGTCATCACGGCAGAGGAGTGGCGGAGTCCCTGGATGGCGGCGTAGGGGCCCTGCTGGAAGTAGTGGTGGTATCGAGGCATGTGGAAGGAAGGGAACGTGGGGCCACTCCCTTGCATGGAGCTGGCGATGGCTGATGGGGTCAGAGGCATCCCCAGCCGGCTATACGGAGGCAGAGACCCCTGAATGGGGTGAGGGATGGGGGTCGCTATGGAAGCTGTGCTGGTTCCAAGAGCAGTCAGGGACTGGGGGTGCTGGAACCCAGGGAAACTGGGAGAAGATGACACCCAGGAGCTGAGAGACAGATTGTCAGATGTTGTAAAGGCTGAACCTGCAAGGGAAAACACCATTTCAATACAGAGATCCAGAACCGAACTATCTGCAAAGATCTATTTACTTTCAAACCTATTTAATGCACCTGTCTTTAAAAGGCAAGCTAGTGGTCAGGTGTAGATGGCTCATGCCTGAAATCTTAAGCTACTAAGGAGGCTGAGATCTGAGGATAGAGGTTCAAAGCCAGCCCAGGCAGAAAAGTCCATAAGATTATGAGATTCTTATTTTCAATTAACTCTCAAAAAAAAAAAAGTCAGAAAAAGCACTGTGGCTCAAAGTGGTATAGTGCTAGCCTTGAACACAAAAGATCAGAAACAGTACACAGATCCTGAGTTCAGTCCCCAGAATAGGCACAAGAAAACCACCACCACCAAAAAAAAAAAGCAAGTAGCATGAATAGCATGAAATCTGTTGATTTACCATATGGCAAATCTACATAGAAAAAAGATGTAATAGATGACCCACATAGCCTCACAGAATGGCCACAGTGTAAAATCTTGCCTACCAGTAAGTGTCCTGATTCTCTTTGAAAGAGCCTCAAAGATCTGCTATGTGTTCTAACTGCTGTGGTATCTCCATTAAGAGAGACTGCAAAACTACCTGGTGTCTGTCCAAAGCCACAGTGAGCATTTACCCTTGTACAAGTTTAAGTAAGAGTTGACAGCAAATTTTCTAGCTAATGGATCATCTGAATTATAAGAAATATTTCATGTTTTTCTGGGTGCCAGTGGCTCACACCTGTCATCCTAGCTACTCAGGAGGCTGAAGATCAAGGTTTGAATCTAGCCCCTAGGAAACACTTATGAGACTCTTTATCTCCAATAAACTACAAAAACTGAACAAAACATAAAAGCCAGGAGTGGAACTATGCCTCAAGTGGTATAGAGCTAGTCTTGAGCAAAAGAAGCTCAGGGATATAGCCCAGGCCCTGAATTCAAGCCTCAGGGCCAGCATATACATACAAAAAAAAATGTCATGTTTTCATGATTACAGTCTTCCATATCATAGATGTAGAACAATGTGAGACGTTCTTCTCCAGATCAAAACCTCATTTCCCAGGATGGGGCTCCTCTGCCCTCTGAATCTGGACTTTCTTGCTACATAAGTTACCTTCCTGGTGGAAACATAGCTCATTCTCCCTAGTGACACTGAGCCATTGCTTCCACACAGCTCCTTTCCCCAAGACAAGTGTTTTCCACTATTCGAACCCTTTGGTTCTAATAAGGCATTCCTACTATTGGTGGAACATACAGATTCCTCAACTTAAAGATGTCTCTCTGAGCTAAGGGATTGTGTCCTAAAATCCAGTAGCTCTTGGTAGTAAATCACAGGCAAGAACCGGTTGACCTGAGGCTTAGTTGCTCAATATAACTTTAGTGTTCCACCGGCCTTCAGGCAGTGGGATCACACAACCCTGGCAAAGTAAGGCAGCAGGGGAGGATCAGAGGGGGCTGGCTCTCCTGGAATGGTCCTGAACCCTAGGACTGGACCTCTCATCACCACCTTCATCCTCCTTCCAGAGCTCACTCTCCTGGAAGCCCCACAGGCCGGAACGGCCTTACCTCTATTTGAAGTTGTCTGACTCTCATCTCCCAGGACCTCTTCCTCTCCTCCATAGGTGCGAATGGGCGAGCGGGCATAGGAATGCTTCTGGATCAGGCTCTCCACACTTTCCCTAGGGCACAAAGGAAGCATCATGAGTTCATGACAGAGCTCAGTGGTAGAGAAGAGTCTGGTAATGATTCATTAGTCTAGACATCTGTTTTCTCAGATAAAAGGAAGCCACATCAGGGAAAGATGACATTGGAGACGTGTGCATTAACAGAAGTAAAGACAACCCCCAGGAGACCTCCCAGTGAAGGACAAAGATGAACAGGGTTCATCTAGGAAATCTGGCCACAAGAATATGGGAACTTATTGTGAGAAGGAATGAAGGAATTTGCAGTTTGGGGTTGCAATGAATCTCCACATTGACTTCAGCTAATATTTTGTACAAAATTCAATTCATTCAAATTGCATAGCTTTAGCATCTGAGAGAAGGTCACCAAAATGTACATAACAGCCACAGACTTTCCCAGACCTGATGGCAAAAAGTTGATGAGACCTCATCTCAACAAGAATAAAAAAGGGGATGTTAGCTGCCTGACATCCCAGTTATGCAGGAAGGATAATAAATAGAAGGATCATGGTCCAGGCCAGCCCAGGAATACAAATGTGAGGAGACCCTAGCAAAAAATAACTAAAGCAGAAAGGCCTTGGGTGTGTGGCTCACCTATGTAGAGCACCTATGTAGCAAGGGCAAGGCCCTGAGTTTAAACCCCAATACCGCAAAAAAAATCAATAGTGATCAACAAATCAAATAAATGCATAACTTAGGTGACAGTATGGATAGTTTCGATCATGAATACTGGGTGTTTTAAGATTCACATTTACAAAATGAGGGAAGGAATACATAAACAACCTTTAAGAAATTTAAACCTACAGAAAGTTAGGACACTTGAAAGCTCACTTATGAACCCCAGAGTGAAGCTAATTTTAAAACAAAATTATTTTGGCATTAGATCATTTGATCTTATTTTATTCAAATAGAAGTCATGTAAGTCAAACGTTCATGCTGATAACAGATTTGTTTATGTAATATGAATTTTGAAAACAATGGTGATGTGAAGATCAACACAATTACACTTTTTGCTCAATACTGAACAACACTGATACCCAACCATACACTTAAGGAATAAGGAAAACAAACGGTCATAATAAGTTCCCAAAATGTAACACTTTCCACTTCACTTGTAAAGCATGCATCCCAATTGGTATCGTGGAAACTGTGTTTCCACATGAATGAAGGGAGAAATGCTTCCAAAAAATAATGTAGGGCCAGGCACTGGTGGCTTACACCTGTCATCCTAGCCACTCAGAAGCTGAGCTCTGAGGATCGCAATTCAAAGCCAGCCCCAGGAAGGAAAGTCTGCCGGACTTTTGTCTCCAATAAACTACTCCAAGAAAGCCAGAAGTGGTGCTGTGGCTCAAGTGGTAGAGAGCTATCCTTGAGTAAAAAAGAGCTCAGGGACAGTACCCAGGCCTTGAATTCAAGCCCCAGGACCAGCAAAAACTAACTAGTGAACTAATTAACTAAATAAATAAATAAATAACTGGAGATAGGTCTAACTCTTGACTCCCTCTCTCCTCTGTTCTTTTATTTGTAGATACTGGCACTAGATTCACATTGTACTGAGTCAAAATTCTTGAAATTATACAGTATTAGCCTTTTTTCTTTTCAAAGATGTTTTGGCTATTTTAGTTCCACTTTATTTTCTATATGAAATCTAGTATTACCTGAGTAATATCTACAGTAAAAGCACTTACTGGCATTTTGATAAAGATGGGCTTGAATCGATAGATCTATTTGTTTAGAATTGTCATCTTCACATTGAAGCAATATATTCCATTTGCTTAGGTCTTTTTTATCTAGCTTTTCTCAGCAAAGCTTTGTACCAGATTAATCCCTAAATAACTCATAGCCTTCCTATAGATCTGAATTTTCTCTATAGGTTGTCACAGTGTCTGGGAACAGAGGTATCTTTAATTCTTTCTTTGCAATAATAATATTTAAAATTTTATTAGTATAAATTAAGTACACAAAGGGACTTCATTGTAATAGGTACAACATGCATATAATGTATTTTATCAAATTCACCCCATCTGTATTACTCTTCACTTTTTGTTTGTTTGTTTTTGGTCCGTCATGGGGCTTGAACTCTGGGCCTGGGCACTGTTCCTCAGCTTTTCAGCTCAAGGCTAGTATTCTATCACTTGAGCCACAACACCACTTCTGGCTTTTTCTGCTTATGTGGTGCTGAGGAATCGAACCCAGGGCCTCATGCATGCAAGGCAAGCATTTTACCACTGAGCCACCTTCCCAGCCTCATACTCTTTCTTAATTTTGTTTATTTTTCCTGACTTACTGCAATGGCAGTACAAGTCTATACAAGTCTGAACTAGCAGCTGCACAAGTGGACATACGCGATTATTCTTTATCTTACAGAGAACACTTAGTAGCTTGCTGCTAGGTATAACATTAGCCCTCAGGGTTTTTTGTCATTTCCTTTTATCACACGGAAACAGTTCCCTTCCGTTTCTAGTTTGCTCAAGTTTTTTTTTTTTTTAATCAGAAATTGATTCTGGATTTTGTTAAGTGGCTGTGTATGTGTGTGTGTATTTTCTGCCTACTGAGATGATCAAATAGTTTTTCTTTTTTGGAATCACTGATATGGTCAGTTACATTAATTGAACTTAAAAGAGTAACTTAATTTTGCATTTTTGAGCTTAACTCAAGTCAATTATATTGTTATACTTTTGTTGGAACCTGATTAACTAGATTTTTTTTAGAACTTTTCCCATGTATATTCCTAAAGGATGCTGGGATATAGTTTTCTATTTTATAGTATCCTTCTTTAGTTTTAGCATTAAGGTGATGATGGTCTCATAATACTAGTTTAAAAGTATTCCCTACTGGGACACCAATGGCTCCTACCTATAATCCCTATTCAGGAGGCTGAGATCTAGCCCATGCAGAAAAGCCTCTGAGACTCACTTCCAATTAACCAGCATAATGAGAGACTGAGTCATGGCTCAAAGCCAAGTGAGAAAATAAGGCCTTGAGCTAAGTTCGAGCACTGGTACTGTCACCAAAAAATGAAGAAGAAAATTCTTCCCTTCAAATTTCTAGAAGAGCTTGGATAGAATTGTAATTTCTTCCTTAACAGTGAAGTCTTGAAGTTTTCTTATGGAAAAGTTTTTTTTTCTAATAGAATTAAACTTTATTTCCATGTTTAGTACATGTTTACCATTGCTGCTGAATTAATACTAGAATTGATAATATGCAACTTGGGAGAAAAATTTACATTCTCCATATTAAATGGGTAAAAAGGGAATGTAAAACTACAAAACACTTGTTTGAGTGTGAGTTCTAAATTATGGTAAACAGAACAATAAATACGTTGCATTTTTTCCCTCTATTTCCCAAGATGATTTCACTATAATTTTTTTCATAACAATGTACTTTAAGGAAGACAATAAGGGTGATCATAAAAACCATTTTACTTTATAATGGATACAGGGTACACATAACTTAAAAGAGTCTTAACACAAAACTCCTACCCTTATTTAAAACACGAACTGAGGAGGATTAATTCATTAACATCAACTACAAATCCAGTTTTTTTAACCCATATATGCCATTTAACATTTTTAGTCAGGAAACATTAGGCTGATTTAAAGTTGACATACTGCACAAGTTAACTTGACAATCATGCTAACCATTTGGTGCTCAAACACCAAAGACTTAGTAGCAGAAGTTCAGAATGAATTCATTCCAAGTGGTTCAGAACTAATAGAAGTAATCATCCCACTTCCTGGCCTATGTTCAGGTACAAATGAATGGATTTTAGCATTCACTGAAAGCTGGCTGCTGAAATACACAGAACACAAAGAATACTCCTGTGGTATAATTTCAGCAATTACACATGGAAAAAAATTATTGTGGTTATCAAGGCTGCTATTGGTAATAAACACACTTTCAATTCTCTACAACTCCTTAACATACTTTATGAAGGTGTGTGATGGAAATGTTTTTAACTACAAATTCACAACTATTGGCTTTATTGAACCCTTTTGATGAGAAATGGTAGTTTGCAGCTTTAAGAAACTTGTCCATTTCATTTGGCAAAATGAGAAGTGTGAGTGTTCAATACGTAATAATGTTCTTTTACTAGCCTTCCTTTCCATATCCACAAAAGAATACTGAGTTTGGTCAATCAGGCCCCTCCTCTCATTCCTGATGATGGCAATTTGTGTTTTCTTCCCTACTTGATTGTCGGTTTTATTAGTTTTCTCTACATTTGGCGCCACTGATTTTTCTCTATTGTTTAGTGTTTTTCTGGTCCACTAATTTCTACTCAAATATTTATTATTTTCCTTCTGTTCCTTACTTTGAGTCTTTCTTGTTCTTCCTTTCCCAGTTTCTTGAGAAGGAAGTTAAGGTTATAGTTAGAAGATGCTTCTGCATTTCTAACAGAGGGATTTGAAACTATGAGTTTCCAGAGTAACGGCTTAGCATCCTGCGAGTTTTGTATGTAGTATACTTATTTTCCTTTAGCTCAAAATATGTTCTAATTTTCTGCTTGATACCATCTTTGCCCTGTGGAGTGATTTCTAACAGAGTCATTGTAGAAGCTGGCCTTGGCTCAGGACCATGGAGCAATTTGCTTTTACTCCCTGGAGTCCTGGCAGATTGGAAACAAAGGGATGGTTATGACATGTCTGTGGCTGGCATGAAAGATCCAAGGCACCCTATACTGGCTGCCCGCCCCAGAAAAGCCTCACGGCACAGCCAAGGCCTGGTACACACTTATCCAGCTTCATATCAAAGAAACAAAGACCATTTCATTAGAAAAAAAAATCCCTTTCACCTGAAACCCTGCTTTTAACATATCTATAATGAAACTTGCTGGTAGCAAACTCCAGTTTTTATATATGGAAAAAATATTTATTATGGTTTTGGCTTTTGAATGATAGCTTTTGTGGGATAGGGTTCTAGGCTGACCAATTTTTTTCTGTCAGTTCTTGGAAGATATTACTTCACTGTCATCTCACTTTGTTTCTGACATGATGTCT